CAGTTTGTTCTTCTTTTTCTTGTCCCTTGAGGTGTATAGTTAAGTTTTTGCATCTGAGGTCTGTCTTTCTTTAAAAGTAGGCATTTATTGTCGTAAACTTTTAGTACTGCTTTTGCTGCATCCTATAGTGTTGGCGTGTTTTAATTTTGTTTTCATTTGTTTCAACATATTTTTTAGATTCCTTTTTGATTTTCTCTTTGACCTGTTATAGTGTGTTGTTTGATTTCCATGTAATTGTAAATTTTTCCATTTTCTTGCTGTTATTGGTTTCTAATTTCATTCCATTGTGGTATTAAAAAATACTTGATATGTTTCCATTTTTTCAAACTTGTTAAGACTTGTTTTGTGATTTAACATGTGATCTATCCTAAAGAATTTTCCATGTTCATTTGAGAAAAATGAGTATTCTGCTGAAGAAAGTTCTTCAAACCCAAAGGAAAGGATGCTAACACGATTGTTATATTGATATTGTGATTGTGGTGTTTGACCCATTTCTATCTTTATTAAGAAGACTGAAAGAGAAAATAAAATAAATTAAGAACAATAACTACAGCAATTTAAGGTATGGGCAATTTAAAAATTTTTAATTGTGACATCAGAAATTCAAAATGTGTGGAGGAGAAGGTAGTCTGTACACATTTTTGTTTTATTTTGTTTTTGCTTTGTTTCTGTTATTTTCTTGTGATCAAAGCTAAGTTTAAATAAAAGTTTTTAATTGTGTGTTATAACTATAGAATATTTGTGTAAGCTTCATGCTAATCAAAAAGCAAAAACATGTAATAGATACACTAAAAATAAAAAGCTATAAGTTAAAATACTTTACCAGAGAAAATAACTTCAATATAAAGAGAGGCAGTTAGAAAAGAAGAGAGGAGTAACACCACAACTGGTAAAGAAGTAACAAAATGGCAGTAGCAAGGCTTTACCTATCAATAATAACAATGAATGTAAATGGATTAAATTCTCCAATTAAAGACATAGAGTGGCTGAATGGATAAACAAGACCCGACTATATCCTGCCTATAAGACTCAGTTCATCTATAGAGACACATATTTATTGAAAGGGAAGAGATGGAAAAAGATACTCCATGCAAATGGAAATCAAGAAAGAGCAGGAATAGCTATACTTGTATCAGATAAAATAGACTTTAAGTCAAAAACTGTATAAAGAGGCAAAGAAGATCACTATACAATAATAATAGAGTTAATTCAGCAAGAAGTTATAACAATAATAAATATATAGTACCCAATACTGGAGCACCCAAATATATAAAGCAATTATTAATAAATCTAAAAGATAGATAGACCATAATATGATAATAGTAGGGGACTCCAACACTCCACTTTCAGCACTTGAAAGATTATCCAGGCAGAAAATCAACAAATGGACATCAGAATTAAACTACACTCTAGACTAAGCGGGTCTGACAGACATTTACGGAATATTTTATCCAACCGCGGCAGAATGTACATTTTTTTTCTCATCATCACGTGTAACATTATCCAGGAGACACTACATATTAGAGCCTAAAGCAAGTCTTGAAAAATTAGAAGAAATCAAAATCATATCAAATATATTTTCTGATCACAACAGTGTAAAATTAGAAAACCGTAACAGGAACCTTTAAAACTGTACAAATACGTGGAAATGAAAGAACATGTTCCTGAATCACCAATGAGTCAGCAAATATGTTAAGAAGGAAATTTAAAAATTTCTTGAAATAAATGAAAATGGAAGCACAGCATACCCAAACTTTTGGGATACAGCAAAAGCATTACTAAAAGGGGATTTTATAGCAATAAATGCCTACATCCCCAAAATAGAAAGACTCCAAGTCAACAATTTAATGATGCACTTTAAGGAACTAGAAAAGCAAAAATGAAGCAAACCCAAAAAAGGTAGAATGGAAAAAAATAAAGATCTTAACAGAAATAAAGGAAATTCAGACTAGGAAAATAATCCAAAAGTGCAACAAAACAAAAAGTTGGTTTGTTGAAAAGATAAAATTCACAAACCTTTAGCTAAAATAACCAAGAAAAGAAGAGAGAAGACCCAAATAAATAACATCTGAAATGAAAAAAACATCACAATTGATAACACAGAAATACAAAGGATCAACAAAGAGCATTGTGAACTACTATTCACCATCAAACTGGAGAAACTAGGGGAAATGCATAAATTCCTGAACATAAAACCTACTGAGATTGGATCATGAAGAAATATAAAACCTGAATAGACTAATAATGTGTAATGATTTTGAAGCAGTAACAAGTCTTCTGTCAAAGAAAAGCCCAGGACTTGATAACTTCACAAGGGTTGTATTGGGCACTCTGAGGAGCTGGCCATGTGCAAAAAGTTTTCACCTTCTCCTAGGGGAGGTGAAAACTTTACCCACCATGTAGGAGGTAGATGCTGCTGGTAAATATAAGTATCTTCCAGTCTGGAACTCCATCCCCTATGGCTAAAGACTTACCTATTACTGGAGAGTCGTATTTTTAAATAGAATTTTATATTCTGGAGAGCAAATGTTTTATGAATCTCCACAAAAATACTCTTGGAAGAAATATTATGGAATAACGTTATAAGATAATAACCTAATGTTTCCCTTCTTTTTAAAATTCTTATTATTCCAGGGCACATTTATTTGCCCCAGGGAAGGATAAACCCAAAAGAATGCAGGAAAAAGTCAACCGAATTTCAAAAATAATTTTATAAAACTCATAACTGAAACATTTGTATTGAAAGCTGAAATAATTTTTAAGTTTAGCACACTTTTCTAGAGTGGAAAACCTCTTTTAATTTACAAAGAATGATTTTGAATATCAAGAGCCTAAGTACTGAAGTACTTTGTATATGAAATGTAAACTGTGCATTGTGGAGTTGGAAAGAACTCAGGCTTTCTTTTTTTTTTTCCTTTTGCCAAAATACAACATAATCATCCAGCCTTTGGAGAAGATCTAACCACGGTTAGATATTGTGGAAAGCCCACTCTTGGTCCTACCCCAAATAAACCCGGAAAGAAGGAAGGAAGGAAGGAAGGGGAAGGAAGGAAGGAAGGAAGGAAGGAAGGAAGGAGGAAGGAAGGAAGGAAGGAAGGAAGGAAGGAAGGAAGGAAGGAAGGGATCTGATTAAAGCAGAGAAGGTATGACCCTCACTTTTCAGAGAAGCCTCTTAGAAAAGGCTTGAATACTGGTGGAGTAGAAATGGGTGAGTAAGGCAGCAGGTGATGGCTCGATGACACCTCACTGAGTTTCATCCACTCCTCTACAGGATCAAGGGTGCAGTTAAATGACCAGGTGCCCTAAAGAAGTGGCAGAGAGAAGGCCAGAGAACCTAGAGTAGCCTCAAAATGGTCATAAGGAAGATGGGAAGTGCAAGGACTATACTGATAAGGACCATGGCAAGACCAGAATCATTTCTATTAATGGCAACAGAGATGGCCACTGGGGCTTATGTATCTCCAGATAATCCAATCTGAGGAGGTGGAAATGAACCTGGATAAAGTTCTTCTTCTTTCAGAAAGCTGGAAACCTTGACCTGAACTTGATTCACCCCAAGGATAATGGGGAAGTGGAAGAAAGGGGAAAAGCAAAACCTTTAACTTTATTGTTTTTACTCATAACATGACTTATTAATCATTCATTGCTTGTGTTTACATGAAAAGATTTAGATTGCTTTTTTCTCATAAAGCAGATTGGGAACTGAGAAATACAAAGTAGAATGAATTGCAGAACTTTCTTAAAGTAATCTTTGTACACACTTGCATAGATAACGTATATAATTCACAATTAGATTACACATTTTATTTGACATTTCTGCATTTTTAAAATATTTTACAATGAGAATCCTGCATACTCATATATTTCTTGCATGTCTTTTTATAAATATCTTAGTATTGCAACATTAATTTGGTCAGTAATTATAACTGTTAATCATAGTTTTAATCATCACATATTTTGTCCCACAAATTGGGTCTAAAATTCACCCTGATTAAAAAAAATTTTTTTGAAGTGAAGAAGAGTAAATAAATAGTCTTTTATTAATCTACTTCTAACTTAGTTGCTTTAATTTTATGGAAATTGTCATGTCAAAAGCCCTTACTGTTGACTTTGTTCAGTTTTTTGGGAGTAATGAAATTACCTAATTTTTCAGAAAGGTGTTATGTTGACTCTTTCACGTTTCCATTTAGTTGTCTTTCTTTGCATTTGTGACTTGGCCTACAAATGGAAAGAGAGGACCCAATCTGAAGTGATTCTAAAAATGAGTTTTGCTCCTTTTGACCCTCGCCTTGTCCCTCCCTTCTCGTCTATCACTCCCATCTGCATCTGCTTCTAAAGTTTCCTTCTTCTTAGCCAATTTCATAACATCTTATAGCATTCTGCTCCCTGAGCCATTTCCTCTTCTTCTGATCCTGTTTGCCTTGTTCATGAGGAAGGCATTTCTGTCAGTCCCACAAGGCCTTCTCCTCCATGTGGCTTATCTTCAGCCAGAAGAAGCAAATAATCAGACCAAGTTATGTGAATTCTGTTCACAAGTCCCAAGTCTTGTAGCTGTCATATGCTGATTAGGAATCTTCTCCACTCAATCTCCCACTACTCCCCACTTTCACCACCTAGTTCCCCTTCATTTGGAGTCCCACATGTGGGTGACAGGAAATGTGCAGGGGATTGCCTGCAAATATTCTTTCTAAAAAGTTTTAGCTCATTCCAAACCCATCTCTTAAAAGATAGCTACATTCTTGCTTTGCTTATCTCATTAAAACACAAGGCAATTCGACTTCTGCACATATCATTTTCAGTAGCCACTTGTTCGAGCATCCAATTTATGACAAAAGATTCAGTTGAGTAATTTCATGTGGTTTGCACTTCAGCAAGACGGACAGGCATCTTTAAATTTAAGCTTGAGATGAACACTAGATCATACTTCGGCCTTGTCATTATCTCCTTGAGTAGGGCCAGTGGATGTCTGTCTACAGACAAGTGACTTGTGTTTTTATTCTGTTTCAAAAGGGGTTCAGAAAATGCGCCTCAATTATTAGAGGGTAGCTCCTAGTTTGCCTTTTGCCTTAGCTCTGACTGTGATGTATGAGGCTTCGCTGATTACATAAAATTCTGGCTCTATGACTTTACCAATAGGCTTCCATCTGGAAGGCACACACAACTATTTAAGAAGAGATTACCATCTTAGGGGAAGAATTTCCTACCCTGCACTCTCTGCAGAGCGTCCTGGACTTCTTTATTTCTCAGACTATACACAACAGAGTTTAGTAAAGGTATTAAGACAGTGTGGGTCACTGAGATTAACTGATCCTGATCTTTAGTATTCTCCAACTTGGGCTTGAAGTAGACAATGGAAGCACCGCCATAGTGGTTAATGACCACAGTGAGGTGGGATGCACAGGTGGCGAAGGTCTTCTTCCAGCCTCCAGCTGAGGCGATCTTGAGAATGGTGGAAATAACAAGGACATAAGACTTGAAGAGGAAGGTGGCTGGGGCTGTGATGGCAAGGAGGCTGATAATTAAGGTCAGAATATCATTGGTCACTGGGGTAGCACAGGCCAGGTCCAACACAGGCCAAATATCACAGAAGAAATGCTCAATCAGTGGGGAGCAAAAGGGCAGTCTGAAAATGGCCACAGTCTGAACCAGTGACAGTGAGGAACCCTGTGGCACAGACTGAGGATGCCAGTATAGCACACACCTTCCAATTCGTGATGACTGAGTAGCCAAGTGGGTTGCAGATGGCCACATAGTGATCATATCCCATCACGGCTAGCAGGAGGCAGTTGGTGATGGCAAAGCTAAGGAAAAAAAAGAGCTGAGTCCCACAGCCCTCCAGGGAAATGGATTGGCTCAGTCCTACAAGGCTGGAAAGCATGCATGGGATAATGACCAGGGAATAGAAAGTCTCTGAATTGGATAGCACACTTAAAAAGAAGTACATTGGCATTTGGAGGTGATGGTCAACATAGATTATAGCCAGAATGATGATATTGCCAGCCAGAGTTAAGATGTAGAGGGTGAGAAAGACCACAAAAAGTATGAGCTGATGTTCTTGAAAACTGGAGAAATTTTGGAAAACAAACTCTCTTAACTCTGTGTGACTGACTCTCTTCATTGAGAATCTCAGGTCTGAAAAAATAAAAGAAAGTCTGCACCATCTTTTAGCAAAAAATAACTGTGCTCTGGAGTACACTACGGAGAGCAAAAATGCAACACCGCAAAGACTCAGTTCAAAACTCAGTGAATCTTCTTTAGGGACATGGCAGACTAAGTCCTTGGACTGAAAATAAAGAAAAACAAAATTTGAGCATTATTATTTAAAATTTTGATATAAAGCATTCTTCTTAAGTACACCTGGGTCATTTTTTAAAATGATCATCAATGGCCCATGAAATTGGTCTCAAAATTTTTTAAAAAACTGGATCTTCCATAATGGTTGAACTAATTTACAATCCCACCAACAGTGTAAAAGTGTTCCTATTTCTCCACATCCTCTCCAGCACCTGTTGTTTCCTGACTTTTTAATGATTGCCATTCCAACTGGTGTGAGATGGTATCTCATTGTGGTTTTGATTTGCATTTCTCTGATGGCCAGTGATGATGAGCATTTTTTCATGTGTCTGTTGGCTGTATGCATGTCTTCTTATGGAAAACAGTATGGCAATTCCTCAAGGATCTAGAACTAGATGTACCATATGACCCAGCCATCCCATTACTGGGTATATACCCAAAGGATTATAAATCATGCTGCTATAAAGACACATGCACACGTATGTTTATTGCGGCACTATTCACAATAGCAAAGACTTGGAATCAACCCAAATGTCCATCAGTGACAGACTGGATTAAGAAAATGTGGCACATATACACCATGGAATACTATGCAGCCATAAAAAAGGATGAGTTTGTGTCCTTTGTAGGGACATGGATGCAGCTGGAAACCATCATTCTTAGCAAACTATCACAAGAACAGAAAACCAAACACCGCATGTTCTCACTCAATGGATGCAGCTGGAACCATCACTTCAGCAAAACTATCACAAGAACAGAAAACTAAACACCGCATGTTCTCACTCACAGGTGGGAACTGAACAATGAGATCACTTGGACTCGGGAAGCGGAACACCACACACCGGGCCTATCATAGGAGGGGGAGTGGGGAGGGATTGCATTGGGTTATACCTGGGATGTAAATGACGAGCTGGATGGGTGCTGACGAGCTGGGATGGTGCAGCAGCCGTGTGCAGCACAGCAACATGGCACAAGTATACATATGTAACAAACCTGCACGTTATGCACATGTACCTTAGAACTTAAAGTATAATAATAATAAATTTTAAAAAAGAAAAAAAAACAAACAACTGGATCTTCTTAAAAGATAACCACATTCCCAGACTACAGTATAATTAAGATAGAAAATTTCATCTGGACGCAGTGACTCACACCTGTAATCCCAGCACTTTGGGAGGCAATGTTGGGCTGATCACTTGAGTCCAAGTGTTCAAGACCAGCCTGAACAACATGGCGAAACCCCATCTCAAAAGATACAAAAAAGTAGCTAGGCGTGGTGGCACATGCCTTTAGTTTTAGCTACTTGGGAGACTGAGGCAGGGGGATCACTTGAGCCTGGGAGGCAGAGGTGGCAGTGAGCTAAAATTGTGGCACTGTACTCTAGCCTGGGCGACAGTGAGACGAAAGAAGGAAAAAACAAAGAAAGAAAGAAAGAAAGAAAGAAAGAAAGAAAGAAAGAAAGAAAGAAAGAAAGAAAGAAAGAAGGAAAGAAGGAAAGAAGGAAAGAAGGAAAGAAGGAAAGAAGGAAAGAAGGAAAGAAGGAAAGAAGGAAAGAAGGAAAGAAGGAAGGAAAGAAGGAAAGAAGGAAAGAAAGAAAAGAAAGAAAGAGAGAAAGAGAGAAAGAAAGGAAGGAAGGAAGGAAGAAAATTTCATAAAAAATGCGAATGTTTGATAATGTAACCCACGGTTTAAAGAAGAACTCATAATGATAATTTAAAATATTATAATTAAAGATAAAAGAGATGCATACCAAGATATGTTCAATCCATTTAGAACATACTAGAAGAAAAATTCTAGTACAAAATGCTTATTAGAGAGGAAGAGGCTAAAAATAAGCTGAGCAGTCATCCTAGGAAGTTATAAAAGCAAGACCACGAAGGAAGTAGAAGGAAAAAAATAGTGATGATAGAGATGTTAATAATATAAAAGATGGGTAAAATAGAGAAGATCCGCAAAAATATAAATTAGTAAACTTTAGGTAAACTGCTATTGAAACTGGGCAAGAAAAAAGGAGAGAAGACATAAATAAACTCGATTATAAATAAAAGCACATAATTGTGGACGTTTTAGGCACAAAAAGATGAAAAGTAACATTATAAACAGCTTTATCAGTGAAATGGATACATTGTGTTGAATTTTCTAGCCAGCCCAATAAGTCAAGAAAAGGGCATTAAAGATACAAGAACTGAGAAGGAAGAAATAAAACTGACATTTTTACAGTAGATGTGACTATGTACATAGAAAATTAATACATTTATAGAAAAAATTAATATTGAATCAAGAATCAGAAAACCTGAAAAGCACTGTAGCTATTTTAAGAAGCAGTTAAAAACTATAAATAAATAAACCTCCAGATCAAGATCAAGACAATATACTAAGTGTTACAAAACATTCAAAGATAAATTAATTTCAGTATTATACAAACTATTTTAGAAAATGGAAAAGAAAGAAGTATTTCCCGTCTCATTTTACAAAGCTGGAATTATCTTGACACCAAACTTAACAGGCTAATCTTACTTACAAATATAGACATAAAATTCTTCAACAAAATACAGCGGGTCATTCCTATCTGTGGGTTCTGCATCCTTGGATTCAAACCAACCACAGATCAAAAATATTGGGAAAAAATGCATTTGTACTGAACATGTACAGACATTTTTCCCATTATTTCCTAAACAATACATTGTAATAACTGTTTATATAACATTTACATTGTATCTGGTATTATACGTAAGCTAGAGATGATTTGAAGTATACAGGAGGATGTGCATAGGTTACATGCAAATACTTCACTATTTTGTATCATGGACTTGAACATCTGTGAATTTTGATATCCGTGAGAAGTCCTGGAACCAATCCCTCATGGATACTGAGAGACAGCTGTGTTACCAAACCAAATCCAGCAATTTATAATAAAATGGATACATGACCAAGTTGGTTTTATTTCAGAATGTAAAGTTTGTTTACCATTTAAACAGTCCAATTATATGTTTCCTCAAATAATCTCAAAAAAGTCATATGATTATTTTAATAGCTGCTACGAAAGCATTTTAAAAAATCAATGTCTACTTTGAGAACAACCCTTAGTAAACTAGGAATAAAATATTTTCTTTAAGTTAGTAAAGCATAAGTGTGCAATTCTATGTCCAACATCAAACTTAATGGTAAGATATTGAATTAGTATTTTTAAGATCAAGAGAAGACAAGGATGACTGCTTTATCCACTTCTCTTTGTCATTGTATTGAATGTACTAGTCTAATAAAACAATAGAAGGACATTAAAGGTATAAGGATTGAAAAGAAAGAAATAAAACTTACTTTCTTTTTATTTTAGGGATTCCAGGACATTTTATTCCTTTACCCTTTCTTTTTTTTTTTTTTCTTTTTTTTGGTGCTTTATTTTATTTTATTTTTTATTATACTGTAAGTTCTGGGGTGGATGTGCAAACATGCAGTTTTTTTACATAGGTATATATGTGCCATGGCGGTTTGCTGCACCCATCAATCCATCATCTACATTAGGTATTTCTCCTAATGTTATCCCTCACCTAGCCTCACACCCACTGATAGGCCCTGGTGTGTGATATTCCCCTCTCTGTGTCCATGTGTACTCATTGTTCAACTCCCACATATGCGTGAGAACATGCGGTGTTTGGTTTTCTGTTCTTGTGTTAGTTTGCTGAGAATGATGGTTTCCAGCTTCATCCATATCCCTGCAAAGGACATGAACTCATCTTTTTTAACAGATGCATAGTATTCCATGGTGTTTATGTGTCACATTTTCTTTACCCAGTCTATCATTGATGAGCATTTGAGTTGGTTCCAAGTCTTTGCTATTGTGAATAGTGATGCAGTAAAGATTCATGTGCATGCGTCTTTATAGTAGAATGATTTATAATCCTTTGTGTATATACCCAGTAATGGGATTGCTGGGTCAAATGGTATTTCTAGTTCTAGATCCTTGAGAAATTGCCACACTGTCTTCCACAATGGTTGAACTAATTTACACTCCCACCAAGAGTGTAAAAGCGTTCCTATTTCTCCACATCCTCTCCAGCATCTGTTGTTTCCTGACTTTTTCACCATTCTAATTGACATGAGATGGTATCTAATTGTGGTTTTGATTTGCATTTCTCTAGTGACCAGTGATGATGAGCATTTTTTCATGTTTGTTGGCTGCATAAATGTCTTCTTTTGAGAAGTGTCTGTTCATATCATTAAGGCCCACTTTTTGATGGGGCTGTTTGGTTTTTTCTTGCAAAATTGTTTAAGTTCTTTGTAGATTCTGGATATTAGCTCTTTGTCAGATGGAGACATTGCAAAAATTTTCTCCCATTCTGTAAGTTGCCTTTTCACTCTGATGATACTTTCCTTTGCCTTCAGAAGCCCATTAGTTTATTTAGATCCCATTTGTCTATTTTGGCTTTTGTTGCCATTGTTTTTGGTGTTTTAGTCATGAAGACTTTGCCCATGCCTATGTCCTCAATGGTATTGCCTAGATTTTCTTTTAGGGTTTTTATGGTTGTAGGTCTTACATTTAAGTCTTTAATCCATCTTGAGTTAATTTTTGTAAAAGGTGTAAGGAAGGGATCCAGTTTTAGCTTTCTGCCTATAGCTAGCCAGTTTTCCCAACACCATTTTTTAAATAGGGAATCCTTTCCCCATTTCTTGTTTTTGTCAGGTTTGTCAAAGATCTGATGGTTGTAAATGTGTAATGTTATTTCTGAGGTCTCTGTTCTGTTCCATTGGTCTATATATCCGTTTTGGTACCAGTACCATGCTGTTTTGGTTACTGTAGCTTTGTAGTATAGTTTGAAGTCAGGTAACGTAATGCCTCCAGCTTTGTTCTTTTTGCTTAGGATTGTCTTGGCTATGCAGGCTCTTGTTTGGTTCCATATGAAATTTAAAGTAGTTTTTTTCCAGTTCTGTGAAGAAAGTCATTGGTAGTTTGATGGGATAGCATTGACTCTATAAATTACTTTGGGCAGTATGGCCATTTTCATAATACTTATTCTTCCTATTCATAAGCATGGAATGTTTTTCCATTTGTTTGTGTCCTCTCTTATTTCCCTGAGCAGTGATTTGTAGTTCTCCTTGAAGAGGTCCTTTACATCCCTTGTAAGTTGGATTCCTAGGTATTTTATTATCTTTGT